GTCTTGCTTATTATATCCCCGCTTGAAAAGCGGGAGGGTATATAGTAATCGTTAATTCCGTCCGTCAGTCCGTCTGTACGTCCGTCCGTCCTTCTGTCCGTCCGTCTGTTACGCTTTAGGGTACCCATCTCTTATCCGCAACTCCTCTCATACCACTGAATGAAATTTGATGAAACTTTCACAGAATCTTTATTTCATATTGCCATTGTGCACCTCCTATTTTACTTTTTGATCCGACACATATTTTGGGTTTCCCGGCCACAGGAAAACATAGACTTTTTCACCAGTTATAACCATATGGGAGGCGGGGGGTATCATTTAGTGAGCTCATCGCTCACAGTACCTCTAGTTTCTATTAGAAAACGGAATACCTTTTGATTTCAAAATAGTCTTTAGATCGGCGCACTGTAAATGCTGATAGTTCGCCGCCATCACAGCTAAAATTTTGTCCCAGGGGACACGACTAAACGCGCATCTAAACTGAAGAGCGTCGTAATGGAAATATGTAGTATTAGGGATTGAAGACCTTAATTTTTTCAAAAATCAGAATGGAAATACTTATAGTTTGATACATATTTTAGCTTTTTACAAACAGAGAGCTTGTAAACAAAGCATACAATGCTCACCTTAGTCGCTTAAATCATATTGTTTTTTGTCTTTTTTAATATTGCGTTAATCCAACGAAAAATTCTACACATTTTAGCCGAGATATCATGAACTTTTGCTCAAGTTTAAGTTTGAAATGAGATATTTTAGGATGGAAATTATAATGCAAACAGAAACCATCATAGGGAAAAAGCCATTGTTGTTGAGAGAATTCTATGTAAACAGAAGAATGTTTCGAAGACTGGAGTCACCACATACGCATGTAGCATGGTTTCCGTAGAGTAACCCTGCGAAATTTCGGGGAAAAATGTCGGAAATGAAAGAATAAATTGTCAGAAATCAAATTTAAAATTGTCGGGAAAACTGCAAAATTAGGGGAATGAAATGTAGCGATAGAAAACTTGTCCCCCAATTTCAATAATTCCCTAACCCTAGGGTTCTTCTGTTTATCTTTTCATTCCCATCTAAACTTTGTCCCTCTGACGAGACTACTTCTTATATGGACACTACTTGAAGTAGCGTAAATAAACTCTGTGAATTCTTGCATAAACTCTGTGAATTCTTGCATAAACTCTGTGAATTCTTGCATTATTAAATCATTAATCATCAATTCACTATTTTCCTATGTTAAATGTCGAGCCCATATCTTGACCCATTTCTACATCCTCCCTCCTTTGGGGCACAATATGAAAAAATCTGTATCTATATAACCTAATATTAGTCTAATATTAATATAATTAATATTAGATTTCCTGTACCTAAGAAAATATATTCAAATGTTTTTATAAGCAACGATATTTTTGTATTTAATTTTATCCTCTTCCAACTCAAGTTGCATATTTATCTCATCAATTAAAATTCTCCTGTTTTACAGAATTTTTTTTTGTAATATTTCGCCCTACATTTCCAATTCAAAATTCTAACCATTTATTTATGCCCTATTCTAACCAGAAGCTGATTTAAAATCTTGAATCAGCACTATCTGAAGATTTTTGCAAATTCAAAGGCTGTCCTCATGACCTCTCCTTGTTCGTGAAAAAAATTAAATAATTAAATATAATAATTATAATTATATATTATAAAATATAATATTATATAAATTCCAATATAAGTTGTTCATCCTGCAGTGTAAGACTTCATTTGAACCAGGCGGGGGAAAATGAGAACAAATTTAGATCTGTATCTGCACTACATGAGGAGGTTTTCATAATGCATATTTTTTGTTTAACAAAAGGTATCTCCCCTTCAAACTGAAACGAAGACTTGGATTTTTTTTTTACCAGATCCTCGGTACTTCTTGGGTCCATGACTTGAACAAATCTGAATTTATACTAGTTAGTATGTCAGAAGGCTTATTAATTCTTTTCAACTTTTCATATCGATTGTTTACTAAAACTTTAATATAAATGCACCTTATATATTTCTCTGTAAGTAGGGGTATGATCTTTTATTTATGGTACTGCATATCTCTAATCCGTGGATGCTTTTGTGGCAAAATTCACAATTCAATTCAGAAATTGAAAATGCTAAACATGAACAGGAGACGTACGACAAACTATTAACAACTAATAATATGTTATTTCTATCCTTCTATGATGTCAGAGGTTTTTGCAAAAACTGTCATTAATTTAAATTCATACCCAATAAAACACATATTTTTTTAAAGAATGCTTTTCAATAGGTGTAATGATCAATGTTGTTAAGTAATAGAACTTAAAAAAATGAATATTTTCGTTATTTTATCTTTGAAAAATTGTGACTAGGAAATTAACTCCTTCTCGGATATCTTCATTCAGACATTTGTACTTTAAATGTAAAAAAAGCGTTCCTTATATTAACATTTCACTATTATCTTACAAGTAGCAAGTATTTTGAAACTCTTAGTATCAGAATAATGCATTTGAACCAGTTTTTACATTTCATTTACAATAATAAAAAAATATTGTACGAATTTTGTTCATGTTGACACACACTTCTGTTTATTTATGTCTCCCGTATTAGGGACATATGCAAGGTACCTTACCTACTGATAATTTTTCAAGATATTCTAAATGTAAACTTATAATACCATTACATGTTCTTTGACAAAAAATCAGCATGCCTTACCAGGGGTTTTGAAAAGATATCAAATTTTGAAAATTTTTGCATTATTCAAAGAAAAATGTACACAAATTACAAAACATAAACTCCAGATTTTTTTCTTCAAAAATAGTTTTAGAAGAGGTGTAAAAATCCATATATTGACATTAAAAATGTTGCACACAGGTCCTTCATTTAGTGAAACTTTTCAACTTCAGGAAAGAACCCAATAAAGTTCAAACTACGTTGCGTTTGATTTAAATAATATGGCGAACTATAAATTTTTTGCAATAATTGGTAAATTCAAACTATAATAAATGAAAATAAATGCAGATTTTGTACTCTGAACCATTAAGATTGTGAGGGTGGAAAAACCTTAAATCAAAAAAAAAAAAAAAAAATCATTCAATCATTGCAGGTACCATTGCGCTGAACTATTTACAAGTAATATTATAAAAAAAAAACTAGAAATATATATTAAGAGTTTTGAACATTGTAAACAACTTCTTTTTCGATTAAAATGGAACTCGTTAATTTACTTTTTGTCATTGGTCAATTGCAACATTATTTTGTTTTTACATTCTGATGGTACATATATATATATAACTATCTCAAAATTGATACTGAAAAAAAAACCCACTTGATTTTTTATTGACAATATCAACATGCATATACAAGGGCTGTTCAATAAATAATGTCCGTGATGCTCGGAAAGAAACCAAAAAAAGCTTTTTAATGATTTACCCTTCACGATTTCACTTAAATATTCTCTTTTAATTAAAACACATGTTCATTCCTTTTTTATCCAATTTCTGATTGATTTTAGAACACATTTTTGAGTATTGCCCTTCGTATCCGGGAATATTGCAGATCCTATGACTTCCTAGACTTGTTTTTTCTTTCTGAAATGTGTTTTTTTTTTCAAGTTTGGAAAATGAAACAAGTTAAATGGTGAAAATCTGGCAAATATTGTTCGTGTGACAAAGCATTAACTTTCTGTATATCCCCAAAACTCCTTTACTCTTAATGGCGTGTTGCTTCGGACGCTGTAATGAAGAAATTTTATGTAGTGGATTCCTGATTCTGGTTCCACCCACTCACACACATTTCAAATATTTTGCAAACATTTGCTCTTTAGACTTTTTTTCCCCAAATATTGAACTGCCTCCCAGACAAAGGATTTGAACAAAAAGACCGCTAATTTTTATGCAAATGACATATAAAACTGTTTTTGTGCCTTAGCAATTCTTTGCTCTTCTCAGACCTTGGCTGTTTTTGTCAAGTACATCTTATTGTAAATTTGTTTGGGGGGTTACTGTATAGCAGGTTAAAATCGTGGTCGGAAAAGATCGCGATTTGTTCAATTTTCAGCAAATGGCGGTCGTTTGTATTCGCGGAAAGGGAAAACCCATAAATTTCTTAAACAATACTTGCAAGCATTTTTCTATAGGTATATATTGTGTGAACTGCTATTTCGCGTCTCTATAGTATATTACGAAAGTCTGTAATGTATATCGCTCATATCAGACAGAAAAGTAATGTCTATATATTGTGTCGATTTTGATCCCGATTGAATAATAACGAAATACAGGACTGATCCAGATTTGAAGTCAAAATAATGCTATGCATTTATTTTTTTTTTTATTTCCGGGTCCAAATCAGAAAAAAATTATACTGTAGTAAAAATTTTTAACTTTTAATAATATAATTGAAATTAATTAATTGCCGTTACCCTGTTTACTAAGTAAATGCCTTAATCGATTAAAGGTAATGACTGAGCGATGCGCACGGGTGAAATTAAACAATCATTTTTTTTCAAATAATTACATCGCACGTCTACTGGATGGCAAAATTAATCGTTAGCTATCGAAATGAATTAAACGATTAATAAGCTTTAAAAACAGCAACAACTGATTTGTAATTGATCCAGGCACTCGCATTATTATAAAGACAGTCTACATCTAATCACAGAAAATAATAAAATTTCAATTTATCCATATAAAACTTTTTAAGAACTATTCACTGTATGTTGAATTCGCGGAATTTCTTTTTCCGCAAATATAGCGAAAATTAACTCAGCGAGTTAATTTCCTGCTGTACAGTAAAGGCAATGGATTCAAGTTTCACTATCTGTTTGAATTCCAATCAAACGCTGATAACTAAAATTTTTATTTACTGATTAAAAATAATAGTTCAGATATTCCTACACGCTGTCGCTTTCACTCATTTTTTTTTAAAAAAAAAAGGATTACCATTGAGACCATTGAGCTGTTTATTGTTAAATGTTTCTTTAAAATAGCGTGAACCACCCCAAA